AAAACTACTATAGGTAATTGTTAAGGCCCCTATAATATTAGTCTAGGACTGAGACTGAGGCATCAGGCCTTGGGTGGTCCACAGCTCTTTTTCTTTTTAGGGTTTAGGATTTAGGGTTTAGGGGATTAACTTGAGCTTTGGCATGCGACGCTTCCAAGGTGCGTCTGGCCGGAGAGACCCCACCAAATGAAAGCAAACAGCTCCACCATGTGGAAGAGAAGACTCGCCAACCAAACTGACCTCTTCCGGCGGTCGGGCTTCATGGGTGTACGGTGCTTAGCAACTCAAGTGGCTTATTTAGGCTTCTGTTTTAGACTGGCAGCACGATTGTTTACAGCGGAGGTAGATGTACCAACTCCAGCTCACCGTGAACCCTAGTTCAGTGCTCCCTGCCCAAACATACACTTCAGAATTCCTCGCAGACCTCAGCTATTTCTTGAGGCTCCCATGTCAGTTGGGTGAAGTGATGCGCTAGTTTAGGGCTCCTCCTCGAGTTTGGATGTTGGGCTTTCCCTAACCCCCAGTTACCTACTTTATAGGGTACTAGAGCCCCTAAGGCCCTATATAGTAGGTACCTGGCAGGTTAGGGTTTCGGCCTGGTATGGATTGTCTGCGGAACGAAATTTCAGCGGGGATGAAACCAGAACCTTGAGTGGAAAATCGTCGAAACCAGCTGGGTTTACAATTCCTGACTGATAGAGTTCCCTAACTCTCCAGGTACGTACTATATAGGGCCTTAGGGGCTCTAGTGCCCTATAGTAGGCAACTGGGGGGTTAGGGGTTTATAGGCCAAGGATTTCTGAAACACGCAAGCTGAGGTTTCATTGGTGCATGTTGCATGTGGTTTAGGAGGATTCCCCTTGGGACGACGGCCTTTGGCCGTCCAATGTGCGGGTCTGAACACCCAGTATTTAACATGGGGGCCGAAAGAATTACCAATACTATTTTGGGGGTTCCTTATTATAAGTATAGTACAATGCGCCCCAACAACCTATTCTAATTATTAAGGCCCCTATATTAATCCTTGTCTAATCATACTGAAGCTCTATTCTGATTATGACAGCCCCGTCGAGCTTTGTCGCTTACAAGTGGCTCGATGAGATTGCTCCAAAGGCAGTGAACAATGCCCTTGATGGACAGCTTCGAGAACACAGTCAAGTCCTGCGAGATCAGGGGCGACACGGAGGGGGGGGGGCGCTTTAGAACCATGAACATCCTTTCAGGTCACACAGGATCAGATGATGTCACGCGGGATCAGACCAGTTCAGCATTAAAACAGCACATCGAATAACATCATACCATACAAATTTATATTCATCTGAAAAGCAAAATGCAATGCAGGAAAGCATGTCATGTTGTACGGCACCTCAAGGTGTGTATATCGTCCCGCGTCGCCGCGTCAGTGGCCC